GAAGAAAATCAGAGGAGGATGCCTGAGAAAACTCAAATTGGAAGTTCAGTTTTGGAAATAGTCAACGACTTGACCTTTTGAAAATAGTCAACGAGTTGACTACTTTCAAAACTCTGCATATTTCTGCTCTGCTTGTATTCTGGTTGATTTTGTTTTTATAGGTAGCTACAATATCTGTGACTTTCTCTTCAAGCATAGACTTACCAAAATAACGCGCTAACGAATAGTAAGATTGAAAAACTGACGAGTACTATTGTTTCCAGCACATTTTTATAGAGAGAAAAGAGTATGCATTTCGAAGTTCTGAATAGAGACAAAGTTCCATGTACGAAAAGCAGTCGATCCAAGTGGTGAAACTACAAAAAATTGGTACGAAGGTTACATATTAGGAATTCCGAACCTGCGTGATGGTGTAATCTGAAGCCAATGCGGCCTGCATACCCTCTTGTCCTGCCACTCCAACACCGACGTCGGCTTCTTGTAGCATAGCAACGTCGTTAGCACCATCGCCTATGGCCAAAACGGCTCCGCTTACGTTGGCTTTGACGAGTCTAGTAACAGCAGCCTGTAGGGATCTTTTGACGGTCTGTACTTCATAATGGTAGAAGAGTTTTCATTATCATCTTTACTGAAACGTGTGAACACGCCTAACTTAAAAAAGAAGAAGAAAAAGACTCCGAGAAGCACGAGATCAAAGAGGTAAAAACAAAACGTAGAACAAAAAGCAACTATACATACGAAAAGGACTGAAGAACGCCCAAACCGAATGACATTGTGATCAAGAAGCAGGACGGCTTGCGAGAGCATGGATTTGAATCAAAGCCCTCTGAAGAGTGTCCTGCGCCAGCAGTTTATTTAGGACGGGCAGTACAATACCACTCACATAACGTGCAAAATTTCCGGAGATGTCGCGGATGTTCCGCGAAAATCCGCCCGCGATCCGGGGATTTCGCGACATTCCGGGAATTTCGCATTCCCGGAATTTGCGAACATCCGCGACATTCCCGGAAATTTTGCGCATATGTGAGAGGTATGTATTGCATCTTATATATAAAGCTGTGGCCGTATTCATGGACGTTACCCAGTGGGTAAGTTTATCAGTGAGTAGGCTTTCCC